ATGGAGACCGAATAACATGTTAATAAATAACTGAATGGGTTAACAATGAGATCAAGAAAGAAATAGAGTATCTGGAAACCGGTGAAAATGAACACACAACAATCCAAAACCTATGGAACACTATGAAGGCAGTGCTGACAGGGAAGTTCATAGCAATACAGGCCTATCTAAAGAAGATAGAAAAATCTCAAATAAACAACCTAATCCTATATCTAAAAGAACTAGAGGAATAACAGGGAACAAAGCCCAGAGCCAGTAGAAGGAAGGAAATAATCAAGATCAGAGCAGAATTAAATGACATAGAAACTAAAAAAACAATCCAAAGAATCAATGAGTCCAGGAGCTGGTTCTTTGAAGAGATAAACAAAATTGACAAACCTCTAACCAGATTCATCAAGAAAAAAGAAAAGGAAAGACCCAAATAAATAATATCAGAAATGAAGAAGAAGTAATAGCCAACTGATACCACAGAAATACAAAGGACTGTAAGAAATTACTGTGAACAACTACATGGCAAGAAACTGGAAAACCCAGGCAAAATGGTCGAATTTTTAGAGATATAACAATCTCCCAAAAGTGAATCAAGAAGCAGCAGAAAGCCCGAACAGTCCAATGACAACTAGCAAAATTGAAACAGTAATCAAAAAAACTCCCAGCAAACAAATGCCCTGGATCAGATGGCTTCACAGGTGATTTTACCAAACATTCAAAGAACTAACACCTATGCTTCTCAAACTATTCCAAAAAATTCAAGAAGAGGGAAGACTCCCACACTCTTTTTACAAGGACAGCATTATCATAATTCCAAAATCAGGTAAAGACAAAACAAAGAAAGAAAACTAAAGGCCGATGTCTCTGATGAACATAGATACTAAAATCCTCAACAAAATATTGGCAATCCAGATCCACCAACACACTAAAAATATCATATACCCATGGTCAAGTGGGATTCTTCCCAGGAAAGCAAGGATGGTATAATATTCACAAATTGATAAACTTAATAAATCATGTAAACACAATGAAAGACAAAAATCACATGATCATATTGATAGATGCTGAAAAAGCATTTGATAAAATTCAGCACCATTTATGATAAAAAAAAAAAACTCAGCAAAGTGGGAATAGAGGGAGCATATCTCAACATAATAAAGGCCATATATTAGATACCTACTGCTAACATCATATTCAATGGGCAAAAACTAAAAGTTTTTCCACTAAGATCAGGAACAAGACAAGGGTGTCCACTTTCACAACTTCTATTTAACTTAGTACTTGAAGTTCTAGCCATAGCAATTAGACAAGAAAAAGAAATAAAAGGCATCTAAATTAGAAAGGAGGAAGTAAAACTGTCATTATTCACAGATGACATAATACTGTACAAAGAGAACCCTATTGTCTCCACCAAAAAACTACTTGACCTAAGAAGTGATTTTGGCAAAGTAGCAGGATACGAAGTCAATATTCAGAAATTGATGGCATTCTTGTACACAAACAGTGATTATGAGGAAGAGCAACTAAGAAAAAAAAACCATTTATTACAGCAACAAGAAAAACAAAATACCTAGGAATAAATTTAACCAAGGAGGTAAAAGGCCTGTACTTGTAAAACTATAGAACACTGAACAAAGATATTGAGGAAGATACAAATAAATGGAAACATATACTGTGTTCATGGACTGGAAGAATTAACATCATTAAAATACGCATACTACCCAAAGCAATCTATAGATTCAATGCAATTCCTATTAAAATACCAAAGGAATACTTCACAGATCTAGAACAAATATTCCAAAAATGTATATGGAACCAAAAAAGACCCTGAATAGCCTCAGTAATCCTGAGATAGAAGAACAATCTTGGAGGGATCACAATACCTGATATTAAACTATACTACAAGGCTACTGTAATCAAGACAGTCTGATACTGGCATAAGAACAGACACATAGATCAATGGAACAGAATAGAGAGCCTAGAAATAAACCCATATCTCTATGGTCAATAAATATTCAACACAGGTGGTGTGAGCATACAATGGAGTAAAATCAATCTTTTCCATAAATGGTGTTGGGAAAACTGGACTTGTACATGTAAAAAAAATGAAACTAGACCACCGACTTTTACCATATACCAGAATAAAATCAAAGTGGATAAAGGACTTGAATATAAGTTGTGGTACTATAAAAGTACTAGCAGAAAACATAGGCAGTCAAATTTCTGACATCCCACATAGCAATATTTTTGCCAGTATGTCCCCTAAGACAAGGGAAATAACAAAAAATGTAAACAAATAGGACAATATCAAATTAAAAAGTTTCTGCACGGCTAAAGAAACCATCATCAAAATGAAAAGAGAACCAACTGTATGGGAGAAAATATTTTCTAATAATACATCAGACAAGGGTTTAATCTCCAAAATTATAAAAAAACTCACACAACTCAACATGAGGAAGACAAACAACCCAGTATAAAAAATGGGTATAGGACCTGAATAGGCATTTCTCCAAGGAGGACATACAGAGGGCCCAAAGACATATGAAAGGTGCTCAACATCACTAGCCATCAGAGAGATGCAGATTAAAACCACGATGAGGTATCACCTCACACCTATCAGAATGGCCATCATTAATAAATCAACAAACAAGTGCTGACGAGGATGTGGAGAAAAGAGTGCCCTGGTGCACTATCGGTGGGAATGCAGACTGGTGCAGCCACTGTGGAAAACAGTATGGAAATATTATGCAAAGGAAAATAAGCCAGCCAGTGAAAGACAAATACCATATGGCCTCACTTATAACTGGAATCTAATAACTGGACTCTAATGAACAAAATAAACAAATGAGAAAAATAGAACCAGGGGCATGGAAACATGGAACAGACTGATCGCTGTAGGAGGGCAGGAGGGAGTGGGGAATGGTAAAAGGAAAGGGAAGGGATTAGTTAAAGAACATCTATGAAGGCTCATGGACATGCACAGTGGAGAGGGGACTGATTGGGAGCAAGAGAGGGGTGGGCTGAGTGGAAGAGCCAAAAGGGAAAAATACTTGGACAACAGTAATAAACAAAAATAAAAATAGATCTGAAAGAGAAAAACAATGTTTTGAGCAGAGGAAAAAACATCTGGAGAGGTGTATTGCATCAAATAGAGAGTAAGGTGACCAAGTTTTAAACATAAATATGTATGTGGTGTATATATACATATATATGATGTATGTGTATATTTATATGTTTTTATATATATACACACACACAGGTATATATATATATGCAATGAAATATTTTTCAGCCATCAAAAATGAGGAAATCTTGCCATTTGCAACAATATGGATGGATCCTGAGAGCTTTCACTAAGTGAAATAAGTCAGACAGAGAAAGACAAATACTGTACAATCTCACTCACATTTGAAATCTAAAAAAAACAACAAAAAAAACCCCCTCACAGAGAGAGATCCGATGTGTGGTTTTCCAGAGATGGGGGGCAGGGGTGATTAAAGGAAGGAGTGAAAAGGTACAAACTTCAAGTTATAATTAAGTACCAGGGGTGCAATAATGTACAGCATGATGACTTACAGGTAACATTGCCGTGATATACATGAAAGTTAAGAGAATAAACCTAAAAGCACTCATCTCAAGGAGAAAAGTTTTTTCCTTTTTTTTATTGTATCTGTATGAGATGATAGATATTAACTAAACTTATTGTGGTAATCATTTCACAATATGTGTAAGTCAAACCATTATGCTGTATACCTTAAATTTATATAGTGCTGTATATCAATTATATCTCAATAAAACCAGAGAAAATTAAAAAATTAAAGAGGGTTCTGAAACAAACAAAAGAGCTGGATGAAATATAAAAGTTATCTCCTTAAAGGCACAGAGTGATAAGCAGATCATAAAAAAAATTCCAGGCCATATACTGGGGGAAGCTGGAAGCCCAGAAAGATAAGACCAGCATCTGGGAAAAAGGAAACTCCAATTGGCTGCCAACAAAGTAAATGGTATTTTTGTTGTTTTCAGGTTGCCATTTATGATGGAACATTTGGGAAAAGACACAGGGAGCAGAATCATGACAGGTACACCTACTGAGTCATCCAGTAGCCATGCCCTATTCAAAGAAGAGACAAACTCTGAATCTGTCATGTCCCTCACCTTGTCAGGATTTAAATGAGTTGCTGGGGGAATAAGAGCATGAAATATATATGCTACTTCTTATGAGTGGCCTGACAGGGTAAAAACTTCTTCCACAAAAGAACCCAACTGTTCCTACTTAATAGAAAGACTGGGCCTAATGGAATAAGACTGATGGCACTAAACACCAAGTATCACGCGTGGTGAGGAAGCAGCTCAAACCCTGCTCCATTTCTGCCAACCCCTCATCGCCCTGTCACCATCAACGGAAGAGAAAGTACCCTGAAAAGGAGACTAACTGGCCTGTAAACCAGTCTAGGCCCTGCTTGATCAGGTGCCACAGGCCCCACCTTTTGTCACTTGCCCCCTCATTCACCGCGCTTTAGACGCTTTAGACGCACTGACCTCCTTGAAACCACCACACCGTCCTTTCAGGTACCCAGCTCCTGCTGCCCCCTGTACCTGAAGCGCCCTTCCCCTCACTACACCATTCTTCACATGACTGGCTCCTGTATCCCTGCAGGGTTCGGCTTAAATTGTTACCTCCTCAGAGAAGCTTTTCCTGCCTGTCCCATGAAGATGGGTCACCTACAACACCCATTGTTCTTTCCTATCACTAAGTCTGTCTATTTTTCTTACTACGTGTAAGAAAACTTGTAATTAAGTACTTGTTTTATGACTCACCCCCACAAAATTGTAAGCTTGCCTATGAGGGCAGGACTGTCTTTTCTGTTCATTGGTACATACCCAGCATCTAGCCCTGTAGCTAGTACAGAGTAAGTATTTATCATATATTGTTGAATGAATTAGTGAGCATTGGGAGAACTTCCTTGGCTCTGATTTGGTCTCAGACCTCCAGGACTAGAGTGGCTCACCTTGTACATAGGGCCCCATCTCTGGGTGCTCCCTGACCCGCAGGGTATAAGACTTTTTTTGATCAGACTGCTTCAACAGATCCCTCACTCGTTCGTTATAGATTTCCAGAAAACTAGAGATATGTAAAAAAAGGCACATAGTTAGATTTTGAAAAATGGTGATGCATTTTCAAAATTCCATTTTGAAAAAAGGCAAGATAATTAGATTTTCAAATAAGTAGGGGAAAACAGCAAACCAACAATCAGAAGGTCCCAGTTCTTGTTCCAGTTCCATCTCTGGCAGTCTAAGACCTTGATCACACCAGGGTTCCCTTTAAGTCTCTTTCTGCATGTATACAGCAGGGTTTTCAACATTGGCCATCAACACTTCAGTTTTAGGTTTAGCACATTTTAGCACAATGTCAGTACTGATTCAAATTTTGGCTTCAAGAGGCTATTTCAGCATGGCTTTAGGGCACGCTGCCACCAGCCTGTGCCTTGCTGATCAGGCTGCCACAGCAGAGAGTCTACAAGCCTGCTCGTTGAAGTGGTTTTCAAATGTGGCCTTCGAACTCTCTTACTCTGTGAAGGCATCTCAAGGGCCCCTGCTGAGCAATGAAGGGAGCTAAGTGATAAGGGTGTGGTCCCTACCCCTAATATAAGTATGACAATTCTCACTTTATCTGTTATACCGAGATTCTGTTTAAGATATACTCTATCATATATGAATCTATAGATATTTTATTCCTTTTAGAAATAATAACAACTGTAAGTCATTATTAAAATCAGTAAAGATTTTGATAAACAAGAAAGTAGACTACTCACAGAAAGGTCTTCCTCACCAGAACACAGATGCTTGCCTATGGAGTCAGCAGTCAGAAAAAAAGGCTCCAGCTCAAAGCTGTCCTCCATATGCACTCTCCCTATAAATTATTTCTCCTTAACCTTCTCATATTTAGACATAGGAACCCTAGATGTCTCTTAGAATAGTGGTTCCCAGGTTTCATGGACAATAAAACATTTAATACATATGCATATGTTTATACACACACATATAAGCACACAGGTTTGCATATTTTTACTTTGCAAACTTAAAAAATATCAAACTAACACATTCATAATCATTTAATTTTTAAAAAGGACATTTATTCTTTGGGGATGATAAAATGTTCTGGAATTAGATAGTAACAATGGCTGGACAACCTTGTAATTATCAGAAAAATTACTGGACTGTATTCTTTAAACCACAAATTTTATGGTTTATTAATTATATCAATTTTTTTTTAAAAAGGACATTGAACACATACACACAGAGAACACAGAGAATTAAGGGCACTTCATAACCTTTGGCCAACATTTTCACTACAGACTGGTTAAAACTTCATCTCGGAGGAGCCAGCACCAGTCTGAGAACAACACAGCAGGGGGCTGGAAGAGAAATTCTAAAAGCTAGTACAAAAGCTAGTACAATGAAGGAGAGGAAACCAGACAGCCAGGGTAAACTGGTACACAGGAGACACCGGTTTGTTAAGCCTGAGGACAGAAATTAAATTTTCTATAACCCGAAGACCTAAGTATGCTTCTCATGTCCCTATACTGCATGATATTGCTGCTATGGCTTTTCTCCATTCTTATGGATGACTCTGGAAGCAACGAGAACATTTTGGAGTAGAAACAGAAACATTTTAGACCCTAAAGGCTGGCGGTTCTCACCTTACTTTTATCCTACAGGAGGAAGGCAGCGGAGCATAGTCTTCCTCCCTGACAAAGAGACCCTGCATAAATCAGAGGGTTGGAATTTCAGTGGAGTGTACAAAGGAGACCTACTTTGAGAGGATCCAGTCAAAAGAGAGTCTATACCTCACATATCCGTGGCGTCAGTCCAACAGAGGCCTGGAGAACAGAAGAAAGGAAAGCATTACTGTTCACTCACGGCGATGCTGTCATCCGGACACCAAGGAACTGTCCTCAGCGGGGGGACAGGCACATGGGCTCCTTGTGCTAGCCTCTTCACTTTAGGGAGTTTCCCTACCAGTATGTAGAAAACTTGATTTGCCAGTGTGCTCAGAAGATGCTCATGGGAGAGCGCACCACATGGGAGGCAGATTGCCACCACAAGCCAGCAAACCCAGATACCTGCTTTTGTGAATGAAGGTTTCATCCTTCTTGGATAAACCCACTTTAACAGTGTGGTTCCTCCTAGAACCTACCTCCTGTTTCTACACACATAGGAGTACTGGAGTACAAGGGTATTCAAAACACACATTTAGAGAGAAGTGGTTTCTCTTTTTATCTTAGATTCAGTGCTAACCTGTACTCAGTTTAAAGGCTTTTTTTTATCCCTAGTTTTATGGGCATTTTCTTTTTTACTTTCAAATATATAAAACTACACTAAACATGGACAGAGTGAGCAATGAGCTGGGCCCAAGGCAGCAACGATCATCTTTCAGGAGGAACAGTGTTCTAGAGAATGTCCCTGTGCGGTGCTGTCACTGCGTCACCATTCACCTCACCCAGGAACTTCTGACCCAAAAATCAAGAGGTGTTCTTAAGGAACTCTACCCGTCTAATTTTCCATGATAAAAGAAGGTTCTGTAAGTCCTACACGCTTTTGAAAGCTCCCATCCCAGTAGTTGGTTCTCCTGCTTCTTTCTAACACTCATGTTTAATACACATGGCCTCATTTCTGCTCAGCCCTAGCCAGTGCTTAAGATTCAGTCCGAGTCTTATCAATGATATGAGAAATTCAGAAGGACTGACAAGGTCTGCTTTATCAAGGGGAGTTGTAAAATTTGAAGGTTCTTCATGGTTTAATAAAGAGAGCTAATTATTTAAAGTTTACTCTTCAATTAAAGTGCTGAAAAACCTATTCTTAATATAGAAGAGGGCCCATTAAATCTCGTTAAAGTTGTCTGACTATGAAACTCACATTCTGTCTCTCAGTGGCAAGGACAATGCAAGATTCAGGCTTGCTGTGGCTTTAGGAAGATATCTCATTCCAATACCAATACTCACTGGGGTCCCCAGCATGGTGTATGTCTTCCCAGAGCCTGTCTGCCCATAGGCAAAAAGGCATATGTTATAGCCTTTGGCAGCTCCAGACAGTACTTCAGTCCCCAAATCCTGGAACACCTGGAACAACACAAGTAAAGAACTCGTCACTGTGGTCCTTTTGCTCAGAGCGGATTTGTTTTTTAATCTAAAAATTTTGCAAAATGTTTCACATATACAAGACTGTAAGTTCTCTACCTTTTCACAAGAATCAATTCAATTTCAGGAAAAAACTGCTAAAGAAAATTGATTCCAGTCAATTGTTCAAATACTTTTTAAAGTGCTTACCGTATGTTGGGCACAGTGCTAGATGCTGAATGTACAAAATTGATGTGGTTCCTAATATTAAGGCAAAAAAAAAAAACAAAAAACCCAAACCCAGAAAAGACATGCAAACAAATCACTGAAGACAGACCATGCACGTTAATTCTTTTCCCTTCCCATTACAAGAAAATGTTTTGAGCAGTTAATCAGGTAAAGCTATAATGAAACATTGCCCAGAACATACATAAATTCAGGGTTGCCACAGTGAGGAAGTTAAACCCAGGAGTTAGGGGGATGTCTTCCCTATGGGTCTCTTTTCTACATGCTCCCTCCTTAGATTGACCCAAACAGCTGACTGGTTCTGCTGGTCACTCATCTCTGTAGTGGTCAGTTTTAGTGAATCAGAAATAGCCATAAATTCCTTATGTGAAAACCCATATACAGCATTTTGTGTAGTGCCTGAGAGTTCTGTTGGACTCTGATAGGCAGACCCTGGTCTCAGGAAAACAACAGCCTGGTTACAGGGCAGACACAGCTTCCCAGCTCGACCAGTCCTCAGTAGCACGCCGCATGGACCCCATGTGCACCCCGTGGCTGTATGTGGGCATCTACCCTTTGTATTATTGTTGCTCAGCATCCAAATATTCTTCCTCTTTGGAAGTGTCTCTGATTGCATCGGTGTCTGCGGCAAGCAGGGCCCAACCCTACACAGCAGAAGCCAGACAGGCCAAACACTCCTCTCTACCTCCTGGCAGCTACAACACTAACATGTGAAATAAGGCCGGCCAACTAGGTGTTCTAACTTCAATTTTGAAAGAATGACACAAAAACAAAGGAATCGTTGGTAAATTCTCAATGGTGGCATTAAGAGCCCAATAGCACTGAGTAAACAGTGGTATAAGTGCCAAGTGTGGTGACCAAATCAGACTAGTCCGTGATACGCCTTCCCTGCTTCCCAGGATCCCGTGGTTTTCTACCCATTTTTCAACTTTCCCATCAAGTCAGTGAATGACCTGACATGATTCCAAATTGGAATGCGGGTCTCACACTTCATAGTGTGCGATCTGGAGCAAGTGCCTTGGTAAGCCTCAGCTCCTTTAGCTGCGAAGTGGATATTTTATATCTCTGTCACAGGTTTGTTATGAAGATTGAGATAATACACGTAACTAGGGGAGAGAGGACAAAGACAGAAGTTGCTGACTCAAGACCACATTACCCAATGTTCTTTGTTTTAGCAGCTGCAGTCAGGCTTCTTGGCCAGTGAACTATTTGTTCTGCTTGTTCATTTTTTAATGCTTCTAATATTCAGATACAAGGCCAAAGAGCCCAGGGAGTGGTGAAAAGTCTTTGACTGAGGCCTTTTAGCATTCCCAACCCCTCCCTCCTGGCTCTGTACTTCTCCTTCCCCGTTTGTTCACTCCTATATTAGCAAAGGAGTTCTCTTTGACTCCTGACATCTGTCTGGGTTAAGTTCCCAGGGATTGAAAGAAGGGGTCATTTCTCTTCATCAGACCGTTTGAGTTGGCTGTCATCCATTTACTAGTTGGAAAATGTTCCACAAAACTCAACCTTTCTTTCTAGCGCCCCGGGAGGAAGTGGGAGCAGAGGTGCAGACAGAGCCAGGCCGCATCCAGTCCTAATGCTACTTCTTTCCACTGCTCACACATAGCACAGCAGAGTGAGCTCAGTGGATTGTGAAGGAAAACAACAAAATGTTACTCTGCTCATGTCTTTCTCCAAACTCAAATAATTGCGCGGAGGTTTTTGAAAACTATTTTGAATATACCACTTTCACTGAACAGTAAAAGATGTCAATGGGCAAAACCAGTAGACTCTGTTTCCAAGGCTTGCTTTCTTGGAAAAAGAAAGGAAAAAGCACGGCCCTTGATAGAGTACAACAGGCCAGATGATACCATGGTTCACTCTCACCATGATAATATAATGTAGCAGCTCAGTGTGAATACCAAGACTAGTTTGAAAGCTGAAATAAGTCACAAAAAGGAATCTAAAGCCAGAGGGTCCAGTTCAGGAGGAGAGGCAGTGTGGCTTCTTTCTCTGGAGTTTAAGTAGACAAAAGTGTTAAATAGTCAGATTAACTACACGCCATAGAGTACTTTCAGTCTTTTTAAGTACTAACTAGGTTAGGGGGACAGTCCACTGGCTGCTGTTGTATGGGGACTCCCGTCAGATCCAGTTTATCATCATTTGCAGACAGATTTTTGCTGTTGTTTTCAGTAGTCCTGAAGTTCTTTCTATGATGCATTATGTTCTCTAAACTCCAAGTAGACTCATAACAAAAAATCTGTGACTTCAATTTATGATAAGAAAGTTTTCAAAACAATTAAATAAATGCTGATTTCAAATACAGGTCTCGGAAATTGTTAAATGAGTGAGAAGAGAGACATTTCAACTGCTGGAAACTATTCAAACACATGTTTTCACTAATGCTGTTACTTAGGAAAACCTCAAGTAACCCAGAGTTGTACGGACTTACACTTCTCATCACACAGAGATGCTGAGGAGGTAAAGTTGATATTATTTGCAGATCTGTTGATCCCTCCCCTCTCCAAACTTGTGGTAGAATGTATAGAAAAGTAGGGTTCAGGGTCCACAATTTGAAGAGAGAGCATTCATGTAAAAATACATAACTTGATAGGGCCTGGAGTTGTGTAAGGGCTTAGAATGATTTCTCTTCCTCTAAGCAGCTACACTATAGTTTAGAGGTTAAGAACATAGGTTTTGGAACGTTCTAGGTTCAAATCCTGGCTCTTCAGGCAAGTAACCTTACTTCAGTTTCTACATCTGTGAAATGGAGATTTTAAAAGTACCTAAAACTCAAAGGATTCTTGAGAAGATTATGTTAATACATGTAAAGCCTTTAGAACAATATCTGGCACAAAGTAAGCATTAACTAAATGCAAGCTTTTATTTTAAATACATTTTTCCCATTTTTCTATATAAGAACTACTCAAAAGTGTTATTATCCTCTCTGGTACCCTCATATATTTTAAGGGGAACCATGTACAGTACTTATTTGGAAAACAGATACCTCAATACAGATGCCATATTTAATGTCCCAGCTTCATATAGATACCTTTTGAACAACTTCCACCTTCTATCCCAGCGGTTTTCGACCAGCGTGCTGTGGCAGGCACACTGGTGTGCTACAAGAATTTTTAAAACAGATAATACCTGACTATTTAGTCAGGAGCACCTGACCTCTTTTCCCTTAGATTGTAAAATTAAAAAATGACAACAGCCAACACAATAGCCATATGGTGTGAATGAATTCAAAATTATACCAAGCTTCTGTCAGAGCAGCAAAAAATGTGGGGTTTTTTTACAATTTTAGTAATGGCCGCATGAATTTTAGTAATTAGTGTATGTGTGCCGTGATATGAAAAAGGTTGAAAATCACTGTTCTATCCTATTGAAATGTATTTCAAAAAAAACCTTAACAAATATTAATGTAAAATAATAATTAAAACTCTTCATAGCTTGAGGGTTTTGCTAGGGCCTAGGGATTATTCTTTCCCTTTTATAAAAAAGAAAATCATATCACCGAGAGGGAGGTTATCTATCCAAAAAAATACATAAAGTTCTTGGCCCTTACTAATTTCCCCCAGAAAGGCTCCATACATTTTCCCCCTCATACATTTTTAAAGATTTTATTTATTTGTTTGTTTGTTTGTTTATACAGAGAGGGGAAGGAGAGGAAAAGAGAGGGAGAGAAATACTGATGTGAAAGAGAAACATCAATCGATTGCCTGTTGCATGCCCCTAACTGGGGACCAGACCTGCAACCTTTGCATATGCCCCAAATGAGAATCAAACTAGCAAGTACAATGCCCGACCAACTGAGCTAGACCAGTCAGGACCATACATTTCTTTTTATTTTTCTGGCTTAAAAAAAAGAAAAGGTGAGGGCTTCTAGTCAAGATGGCAATGTAGGCAGACATGTCTCACCTCTTTACACAACCACATCAAAATTACAACTAATCATCACTCAGGAACATCAGAAATCAAGCTGAATGAAGTCCGGCAACAAAGGAACTGAAGAAACCATATCCACCCAGATAGGAAGGAGGAGCATGTACCCAGAATGGACTAGCCCCACAACCAAGTGAATAAAAATTTGGGAGGGATATTTTGGGATCAAGGAGTCCCAGACCCACACCAGGCCCCCCAGCCCAGGGTTTCAGTGCCAGGAACATAAGTCCCCATAACTTCTGGCTGCAAAAACCAGCAGAGATTGAATTGGTGGAGGCTGCGGGAGCCCTAAGCAGGTCCTCTTGGGAAAATCACACACTGTCTTACCCACTCAGACTCGCTCCCTCTGAGCTCCAGCACTAGGATGGCAGCTTGAAGGGCACCAGTGGTATATAGGGAAAGGCTGAAGGGTCTGGCACTGAGGCAAGCAGAAACCATTGTTCTTTTGCTGAGCCCTTCCCCAACACAGCCAGTAGGTTGGTGCTATATCTGGGACTCCATCAACCTGGCTAACACTGTTTAACACACATTGGAGAAGCACAGAGGCTCCACCCCACCCTACTTAAGGGCCACCCAAGCTGCTTTTCCAGAAGAATGGCTGGTTGTGGTTCCTAAATCCTATCAAACAAGCAACAGCTGGCTTCAGCGAACCCTAGGGACAGCCAGATTAGATTCACAGCTTGGCTTCACCTGGAAATCCCCCAGCCCAGAGCGAGTAGCAGCCATCTCAGATTGCTTTACAGGTCAATCAGGCAAAACACACGTACGGGCTGACCTTGGCCTGCACCACCCAGGAAATCCCAGGGCCAGCGCACCCAGTGGACAGC